GTGGGAAGGGGGAAGGGGGAGGAAAGGGGCACAGTCACACGGGTGAGCTTGTTTTCCCATGAAGGGACTGAAGGATGACATGGGGCTTCCCGTTTACGTGGCCAGAATAGGCCATATTTCAGCCAGCTTTTTGTACAGGTTTCCCACTGATAGCAGTGGAAGGTCCGTTGTGGATCGCAGTGGTCCCGGAAGAACCCTGTCTCAGACTCGGATAGCTAGCCGTTGCATTTGACATCCTCATCGAGGTGTCACCCACGGGTTCATCGGGTCCGTTCGCCCTGCAGAGAAAGCTGTCGCTGAGGTTCATACCGGAGTCCCATCAGTTTCTGGATTAATAAAGGCAGATCTCGGAGTGCACTTTTGAATCCGTGTAGCACGTGAACTTCACCGGGGGGGAAGCAGATGTTCACAAACTGTTTCTTCACTGATTGCTTCTGGAATTACTTGTGTTCCAGTCGTGTGTATTGTGCATATTATAAATGCTCCTCATAGCTGGTGCTGTGGGGAACTGTTGACAATGTGCGTCTTACTGCGTTTGCTCTATGCCATAGTTATTAGCATATTTTTATTTTAAATGCATTTCTGTTTTGCATTATCTTGTTCTGAAGCTTTCATGCTGATTTAAACATAACCAGTTATTAGTTAAGTGTTTATAATTTGATTGGTATAAGATACAGAAAAAGACAGACTTAGTGCTCTGTGGAAATGGCAATTCCTTTGTAAATCAATGCTGTTGCTGTGCAGAAGAAAAGAGTATGTTCAGAAAGTGCTCAGATAACAAACTCTTAATTGCTTCTTCCCATAACCCCAGTTGCCTATCTTGTCCTGAAAGATCGCGCATTTATACATCTGGGCTGTGAAGTGTGGGGGGAGTTGTGTGGTGGGTGTTTTTGGGGGCTTTTTGGGTTTTTTAATCTTTTGTGTTTAAACTGCATAAAGCTTTTAATTAAAACTTTCCGCTGTGCCTGCTTAAATGGGTGAGCAACTGAACATCTTCCTTTTCCTGAGATTCACTCTGGGTGTCTCTCTTACCATCAGGTTTCGGTTAGAGCTATGGGTGGCAGCAGTTCAGATGTGATCGGGGAGTTCACTCGCATCGCTGCAAAGCTGTCGGAAGCAGGAGCTCACGCGCCGAGCCACTGCCCTGCTCCCTAGCGCAGTCCACTGCCCACTGCTTGCTCCCTCTTCCCTTCCAGGTGCAGTGTGCGGATCACGACAGCGACGGGTCGCATGACTTGATAGGCACTTTTGAAATGAACCTGACTCAGCTGCAGAAAGCAGATGGCAGCTCTCCGGTGAGCTTTCTCGATCCCCGCTAACTCAGTCTGTAATTCAGTCTTTCACAAACCCTTTTTAATGTTGACCTCAGAGGTATTTTTAGCTGTTGCCTCCAAGAGTGTATTTTTCTGCCTGTATCGTTGTGTCATTAAGCCAACAACCTGGGAAGAATAAAACCTGGTGTGGGAATTCTATTGCCCTGTTTTCCTGGGGTGCTGCCACCATTCCTATTCCTAAAGACAGCCTTGAGCCCGTTGGC